AATTTTTTTAAAATTAATTAGATGTCATACATATGTAGTAACACTATTTTTTACATTATTTTCTAATTTACCCTCTAAATCGACAAAATTATTTAAGTTTTCTTCACATAAATCATAAAAATTTCACAATTAAATTCTAAAATATAATTTTTTACATATAATCACCATTAAATAGCGAGAAATTACAAGAAATTAAGAGAAAATCAAATTTTGGGAGGAATTTACCCTCAAATTGTCGAAATCCGGCGAAGTTGACTGTTCCGGCGGTCGGAATCAAGGGCAAACAGTCGGAAAGGAGTGCTGGCGGTCGGAAACAGTGGCCGGCGGTCAAATTTGGGGGGCTGGGGTCGGAATCGCCGTGGACGGCGGCGGAGATAGGTTAGGGTTTGGGGGCGGTTGTGGGGAGAGAGAACTGAAGGAGGGGGCTGTCTGTCGCTGCGTATATATAGCCCGCAGTTTCACGGGAGTTCAACTCCCGTGAAGCTGCAGGGTAAAATCCGCAGCGAGTAGCTCGCTGGAAAATCTGGCCTGCAGCTTCACGGGATTTCAACTCCCGTGAAGCTGCAGGCCAGATTTCCCAGCGAGTTACTCGCTGGAGTTTACCCTGCAACTCCACGGGAGTTGAACTCCCGTGGAGTTTAATGAGGGTTTTAAATTTCACGGGAGTTGAACTCCCGTGAAGTTTAAAAACGTACTAAACTTCACGGGAGTTGAACTCCCGTGTAGTTTCGGAAAGTTTTTTAGAAAAACCGACCTGGTTTCAGCGACAGTGCTGAAACCAGGTCGGTTTCTCTAAATAAAACTGAAACGGATCTTTTTTTCCTATTAAATGCTGAAATAGGTTGGTTTTGAAAATTTGTCCGGTGTATTGCGCGTTCAGTTGGGCAACACAAATTTTTTGATACAAATAAGTCTGCAAGTAACTATTAAAATACGTTTATAATACGTTTGAGGAGTATTATTGAAACTTAATCGGACAACTACCAACAGTTTTTTTTAATATATTTCTTTTGCTAATAATCCTTTGATAGATATGTTATATGTAGAACGAAAATATCTGTAATCATATTCATTAGGATACAGATATAGTTATTTAAATTTCCAAATGATAGGATATGATTGTAAAAGTATACGTATGCCATTAGGAAAGAACCCTAGAGGGGGTGAATAGAGTTTATACTAATCTAATCTGATTTATGCCAAATTAAAACTTATTAATAACTATATCCTAACAATGAGATACAACAAGAGAAATATGCAATTATATAAAACTAACACAATGGTAAAACAAGATATAAACAATATAATTGATGAAATAAACAATGAGAGAATGACAATAAAGATGAATACAAATATAAGTGTGCTAAACCAAACTCAAACAAGCAATATGATCACGGAGTTTGGACCTTCCGTCCGTCTCCGCTGCCCACTCCCGGGGAGAAATCCACTATCACACTAGGTTTTCAACGATCACCCGAAAACGTTTACACCTCACACTCGGTTTTCTAGCTCACCAAAAACTTTACAACACTCACAATATAAACACACTAACTACCACATCAAGTGTTGGTCTATAGCCCGTGTCTCCCTCAAGTATTAGGAATTATAACCTCTCTCTAGGCATTACTACTTACCTCACTCATCTTGGGACAACCCCGTCTCTCACCACACACTCCTCTTGGTGTACTAGTATAATACAAAGTGAATCCTCACAATACAACAATCGTTTTTCTAGTTCACCGAAAACTTTACAACTTACACACTTGCAATTACACTTCACACCCTCTAAGTGTTAGTCTAGCCCGTGTCACCTTCATCAAGTGTTCGGAATTACCACATCTCACTAGGCTTTACTACCGACCCCACTCCTCTTGGAACCGACCCCGTCTCTCACCAACCACTTTTCTCGGTATTCAAGTGTAATACAATGTGCAACTCACAATAAAGTTCATAAATATAAATTTGTTCTCTATAATATATGAGAACACAATTAAGCTCACTTTTAATGTCACAAACCCACAACCCCAAATTATACTATGAATGTAAATACAATATGCTCAATAGGTTGTGTGTGAACAAAGAGTATCAATAAAACAATTAAACTCAATATTGAAATTTAGCTTATGGAAATTAGAATCAAAACAATAAATAGTTAGAATTGAGTTTAAGGAAACTTCTCTATAGATGACAAAAAGAGGGAGAATGGTTGAATGCTCAAACACCAATAGAAAATCTCCACTTGCTCTTGTGAAATTATCTTCACAAACAAAACTCTTAAACAAGGCTTAAACACAAACTAAGCAAACTTTTTAAAACCCTTGTAAAACTTTTCTCTTTTGTTTAATAGAAATGAGGATATGTGGGGGTATTTATAAGAACTCCAAAGCTAAGAGAAAATAAGGCAAAAAGACCAAAAACCCAAAACTGGAACATGCTGGAAAAAACTAGCCGTTACAGTATCAGTCGACTGACGGCTTTCATCAGTCGACTGATGAGCTGACCGTTAGAGGCGTTTTCTAGCTCATCAGTCGACTGGCGGACCTTATCAGTCGACTGATGACCTCATCAATATTGGTCAGTCGACCAAAACAAAACAGAAACTTTTGGCAACTATGGGCACTTTCATCAGTCGACTGTTCGGTCGACTGATTGCATCAGTCGACTGATCAGTCGACTGATAACAAGTGTATAGCTTGTTTAAAGCAGAAATCTGATTCTTAAACTGCTTTTAAAAATAGTAAATAAATTCTAAAAAATATAAAACTTTGGGAAATGATTGTAAACATGATAATACACATGTTACAAAAATAGTCCAAATGAGAAAACTCTTCATTTTTCAAAATAGTCCAAAACATGTAAATGTAAACACACTTGTTTTGACATTTTGACTAAACCATATTTTAAAACTCTATAAACCGATTTTATAGACTTAATAAAATATGTACAAACTGATATTAAAGTTTATAAACTAATAAAACAATATTTTATCAAAAACACCTATATTTTGATAAAATCAACAAATACATGTGCGTGATTAATATGAGCTTAAAATATCTACACACAGGTATAAACCTAAAACTAAATTACCCAAGCTTGATAGATCTTCATTGTAGCTCAACTTGGTACACTTTACGAATGAAGCTTGAACTTGGATCTTCAACATGAATTGCATTGCTTCACTCCACTATTTCCGCCAACCTCCATTGGATATGATCGTGAATGCTCAATATCATCCATCCTCCAACATATTATTTGCCTAGAATAAATACAAAATATAAACACTAGACAAACAACATTAGTTGTAAATTGTTTGTTAATGATCATCAAAACAAAAGGACCCAACAGATTGCATATATAGTTTTGTAGTGAAATATCCAGAACTGTATCCGAAATATTTGAATACATATTGATCATACTGTTGCAATAGTTTTGATTTTTAGATTAATGGATTTGATGTTAACTTTTACGATCAAGATGTCAAATCTTAGATTTTCAAATTTAACGAACATATTAATGAACTCATTTGTATCACATGAACTTTAATTTTTGTTAATATTATCTAGTTTTCTCATATCCTTTCTGTATCCACACATATATATGTTTATATATTGGCATTTATATCCTTATTTGTATCCGTATCCGATTTTTATAGATATGATATAAATTTTTCTTACTGAGCTATATCTGCATCTGTATCCATGATATATAAACGGATATGAATATGATAAGTACCATATTCGAGCCGTATCTGGACCGAAGCACCAGCAGTTATATGTCAATAGACGTCATTGATGGCCTCCTAAGGCTTAACATTAATAATTTTAAGAAATAATTTTGACCGGAAGTAATTATAATTTATTTAATCACATTGGACTTCATTTTGATTTGTTTTCTAGGTACTCTTGCTAAATTGTGACTCGTGAAAATAATAACATAATTAACAGTTCTAGCGCTTAAGTGTGACTGACGCCTGACTTTCCTAGGCTTTTCAATTTTAAAAGTATATGTATTTAATAGTGGTTAGAAATTTTTTTTGGATCCTCTCCAATACCAAGAAAATGTAAAAGAGACTACTAATTTTTATTTCAATTGTTAATTATTTAGTTAATAATTATAATATGAAATATAAATGAATACAATACATGGGTATAATAAGTATAAAAGTTTATAGTGGATCATAACCATTCATTGAATAATTGGCAGTTGTAAAACAATGTCATGTTATCTCAAATAGCTTTTAACAATAAAGAAGATCTAAATCCGCAGAAAGATATACGTTATTGTGAGATCTAAATATACCCTTTTTTCTAGTTGAGATCCAAATATGTTAGTAAGAGCAACATTAATAGAGAAATTAATTTTGAATCCAAAAATCATGACATCAATCAAGAGACATGTGATATATATTTATGATACTCATGAATTTTAGTTAGAATCTCAAGAAAATAACACAAATGGCCTTATGGTTGGTCCCGTAATCTTTGGGTCAAATAATAATAATAATAATAAAGTAACCGCATGAATAAAAAAAGAAAAATTTCTCAATAACTCAAAATAGTGGATTAACATGGAGACATGTGATATGTCCCCCTCATATTACATAATGAGCTGATCATCATTAATTATGACCAGTTCATTATGCAATAGGAATGAGACACCTCAAATGTTCCACTGTTAGTCCCATATTTTGGGTGCGAGCTTTGCTACAGGGACCCAAAATATGGGACCAATAGTGGGGACAAGTGAGGTGTCCCCCTCCTATTGGATAATGAGTTGGCCATCATTAATGATGACCAACTCATTATCCAATAGGAGGGGGACATCTCACTTGTCCCCTCTATTGGTCCTATATTTTGGGTCCTTAAAGAATTTTTCTTTGGGTGCATATAGCAAAGCTCATAAAAAAACCTACGTAGCTCATTGTGGCTTCTGACACAGCCCAAATTTTAACTGGGCCAAAAATCTTGGCTATCTAGTTTAACGTTTTACAGAATGGGCCTTAGTTTGATGCTATTCAATTGTTCAGTCTGGAAATGAGCAAAGGATGGCTGCTGCCTGCTGCTCTCTCCTCCGTTCCTCCTCCCTTTTCTCGTCTGTTAATTCCAATCCCAGCTTTCATATAAACATCAATAACCAGATTCAATCACTTCCACCACCAATTTCCAAAAGAAAACTCAATAATAGTACAAGGCTCGCTCCATCATCAGCAACAACAGAGAAGATGGAGGGCAAAGAGGCAGCAGCAGAAGCATCAGGACAAGAACAGATCCATCAAATGAAGCTTCTCTTTGTTGAGATGGGCGTCGGATACGATCAACATGGGTCTGTTTCTTTTTATTTTCTCTTATTTTGTTACATTCCTATATATGTGTTCTAATTTAGAATTTTTTTTTCTCTTGATTTGATTAAATATCAGACAAGATATTACTGTTGCGGCTATGCGAGCATGCAAAGGTGCCATCTCTTCAAATTCTATCCCAGCTTTTCGAAGAGGTATATGTTGGTCTCTGATCAATTGGGTAATACCCATTTATTAGCTGTTTGATCTTTTTCCTGTTAGAAATGTTAGAATTTTCCCCTAAAAAGGGAAATGCAGAGAAAATGGACTATGGTGGCCTAATTTTGTTATTTCTTGGGGATTATTTATACATTAGAGTGTTTTGAGAGAATTTGCCACTAGTTTGTGTTTTTTTAATGCTGATTTAATATTTCTTAATTATAGTTTTGGAGTTTGATGGCTTTGGTGGTATGTAGCTGTGGAATTTCAAATTCTATGTGGAATTTGGTTTCATGTATTGATATCCATGTTGTGCGTAGTGGAAATTTCGGCAGCACCGCGGCACAACAAGATAGTAAGATCACAATAGGAATTCTCGTTTCACCAATGAAACAAGAATCAAAAACAAAATATCTTAACAAAGTGAGATATCGGCTCTTCATCTCATCAGTTTTAGGACTGACCTGTCGAGGGAACCTAAATAAGCTATTACAAATCATACAAACAACGAGACAAACTAATTTTACGTGGTTCAGCAAATAGCCTAGGTCCACGGGGCAAGGAGGGAGGGAGATCTACTATTATAGATAATACAAATAGGGTTTACAATCACACAATCAAACAAGCTCTCAGATCTCACACAAATATCTCCCTGAAAAACAACTGCACAAATCGTATTTTTCTTCACAAAAGAGTGGTCGACTTTTCTCCTTGCACAACGATTTCTCCTCTGCTTGTGCTTGCACAAAACCCTAGGCTAAAAATAAGAACCCTATTTATAGCGATGTGGCCCTAGCCGTGTGTATGGATGTGGTACCCCTGCGTTGAAAACGCGTCTGTGGTAGTCTTCCGCTCTCGTGCTCGTGATAGCCTTTCACGCGGTTTCGGTTTTGCTGCCAGCTCGTGCCTTTCACGCGGTTTTGCTGCTCCGCATTGAGAACGTGGTGGCCCCCACGTTTACAATCCACTGATCGAATCGCCTATACCATTATCGAGGAGACTGCTTCAAATCGTATAGCGATTTTTTCAATCTGCAAACCAATTTTTCTTTTTTTACAGCTCGGAATCCCAATGTCTGAGTCATATATATTTCTTCATCAAGATCACCATGAAGAAATATCGTCTTCACATCCAATTGATCTAACTCCAAATCATACTGTGCCATCGAAGCTAGCAAAATACGAATCGAAGAATGTTTTACCACTGGAGAGAAAACCTCATTATAATCTATTCCTTCCTCTTGTACATAGCCCTTCGCAACCAACCTAGCCTTGAACCTCAATGGAGTGCCTTCAATGCCCTCCTTCTTCGTGTATACCCACTTGCAACCAATTGCTTTTTTGCCCCTTTGGAAGCTCAACAAGCTCTCACGTATCATTCTTGTGAAGAGACTCCTTCTTCTGCATAGCTATCTGCCATGAATCAGCCTTCGAACTCTGCTCGACCTCTCTGAATGTAGTGGGTACCAAATCATCGATACTCTCCACCGGAAGTGCATATGCAATTACTATATCGGTATACCGTGCTGACATTCGTATGTCTCCTCTGTCTCCGAACCGTAATAGAATCCTGAATCTGAGCCGTCGGTCCCTGATCCTGCACATCAGTACCCGTATCCTCCGTGTTATCGTCGTGCTCACCTGGCGTCACCTCAGTCGACACTCTAGTGGATACTGCACCATCTGGATACTGTGAAGCTGCATCGATCCCATCACCTGCGATATCTCCTCTGTCGGGTCGCTCTTCACCTGATAAGAGCTGGGAAGCTTCAAGATAGAAGCATCATCGAATGCGACATCCCTACTCAGCACAATCTTCTTATCAACTGGATCCCAAAGCTTGTATCCCTTAACACCACGCTTGAATCCTACAAATATGGTTTTCCTAGTTCGATGTTCTAATTTATCAGTTCTAACATGATAATATGCAGGGCAACCAAATACCTTGAGCTGGTCATAGTCATGTGCTGTCTCTCCCGACTACATCTCCATAGGGGTTTTCCCCTCAATCGCAGTTGAAGACAGCCTATTAATGAGGTGGCTCGCATATGTAAGTGCATCAGACCAAAAGATCTTCTCCAAACCACTATGCGCCAATAAGCATCGGACCTTCCCCAGTAAAGACCGATTCAGCCTCTCTGTCACTCCATTCTGCTGTGGTGTATGACTAACTGTGAAGTGTCTCTCTATGCCCTCATCACGACTTAGCTGCTGAAAGGGGTCTAAAGTGTATTCGTCGTTATTGTCGAATCGTAACGTCTTGATCTTTCTCTCAGTCTTGATCTAGGACTTCACTCTTCTTCGTCATGGTGTACACCCAACAACGCCTAGAATACTCATCTACGAACGTGACTAACCAATATCGACCACCAAATGATGCAGTTTTGGTGAGACTCCAAACATCTGTGTGCATGTAGTCTAGAATGCTTCTCGTCCTATTAATGATTATCCCGAACTTCACCTTCGTCTTTTTATCGAGTACACAGTGCTCACAGAACTCTATTTTATCACTCTTGGCTCCCTTCAATAGCCCATGCTTGCACAAAGTCTGCAGTGACTTCTCTCATGTGTACCCCAACCTATAATGTCAAAGTCTGCTCATGTCCGTCTTTGAAATAGCTGAAGTTACCTGGCCAATCTCGGTGCTCCCCTTCAGATAATACAAATTTCGACTACGGACTCCCTTCGTCATCACCAAAAATCTCTTAGTAACCTTTGTTACAGCATATTCAAAGGTCACATTGAATCCTTTTGTCTTTAAAGCTACAACAGAAATAAGATTCTTCTTTAGCTGAGAAACAAATCTCACCTCTTTCAATTCACGGACTACTCCATCGTGCATCTAAATCCTCACAGTACCTATCCCACAAATGCTACAGGACTGATCATTTCCCATGACTACAACTCCCCCATCGAGCTTCTCAAAAGATGCAAACCAATCTCGTCTAGGGGTCACATGATAGATAGCACCGGAACCAATCATCCAATCTGATGCATCCAAGTGGTTCACCTCTGGAGTAATCAGTAGAGAAAAGCTCGAATCATCGGAATCATCGCCTTTCGCATTCACCTCATTGGTCTTCGGGCCCTTTTTTCTTGCCATTCTACTTCTCCTTGAGCTTCGGACAGCTTCTCTTCCAATGTCTCTGCTCCTTGCAGAATGCACATTGGTTCTTTGCTAATTGATGGCGGCTTCTTGACTTTAACCTCCCTCTATTACCACCTTTCAGATATGGGCTTCTACCTCTCGTCGACAAGATCTCGTCTGAAGTACACTAGCACGAGAAGTCTTATTGTCCTTCCTCCTCAAATTATAATTCGTCAATGCATTAATAACTTTACTATAGCTGATAGAAGATCTTCCGTTCAACAAAGTGAGCACAAATGTGTCATACTCCTCATCCGGTAAGGAGCCCAATATGATAATAGCTTTGTACTCATCCGAAATTTTCTCATCAACATTCGTCAAATCCGACAACTTCGTATAGTTGTTCACATGAGCCACAAGCGAGGTTTCTTTGGACATCTGGAATCTGAAAAACCTACGCAGCAAATGCAACATGTTCTCAACACTCTTCGTAAGGTACTTATTATTGAGAATTTCCTACATCTTCATCGCAGACGTCATCCCAATCACATCATACTTCAGTTCCTGCTCCAAACAGGAGCTGATCACCCCACAAGCGTTCTTATTCATATTTTCCCATATCGTCTCTTCATATTTTGGTGGTGTCTCGTGGACCATGATGGTCTCCTCCAAGTTCTGAGCATTAAGCGCATCATGTACGTCGCTCATCCACAAACCAAAGTTAATTTTACCGTCATAATTTACCACACTAATTTTGATGTTCTGAAAACCAACTTGAACTGTAATCGCTATCGACTTGCTGCTTTCACCTTCCATTGTAAACTAACTCCAAGTTGTAGAGAAAGAATCAAACTTTGATAGAAATTAAGAATTATTCAACTGAACCATAGATCGGATTCCAAATAGATCTCTTGTCCACACGAGGAAAGCGAAATCTCCAACGACAACTCCTAATGCTATCTCCACCGAAGCCTAAAACTCCAAGAACCAAGATTCACACAAGAGTCTTCCTCCATCTAATTCTAAAACCCTAGATCTAAAATCTGGACTCTGATACCATTTGTTGTGCGCAGCGAAAATTTTGGCAGCACCTCGACAGCACAACAAGATAGTAAGATTGCAATAAGAATTATCGTTTCACCAAGGAAACAAGAACCAAAAATAAAATTTCTCAACAAAGTAAGATATTAGCTCTTCCTCTCATCAGTTCTAGGACTGACCTGTCGAGGGAACCTAAATAAGCTATTACAATTCACACAAACAACAAGACGAACTAATTTTACGTGGTTCGACAAATAGCCTACGTCCACGGGGCAAGGAGGAGGGAGATTTACAATTAGAGAGAATACAAATAGGGTTTACAATCACACAACTTAAACCCTCAAACAAGCTCTCAGATCTCACACAAATATCTCATTGAAAAACAACTGCACAAAATCGCCTTTTTCTTCACAAAAGAGCGGACGACTTTTCTCCTTGCACAGTGATTTCCCCTCTGCCTACGCTTGCACAAAACCCTAGACTAAAAATAGGAACCCTATTTATAGCGATGTGGCCCTAGCCGTGTGTGTGGATGTGGTCCCCTTGCGTTGAAAACGCGTTTGTGGTAGCCTTCCGCTCTCGTGCTTGTGATAGCCTTACACACGATTTCGGTTTTGCTGCCAGCTCGTGCCTTTCACACGGTTTTGCTGCTCCGCATTGAGAACGTGGTGGCCCCCACGTTTACAATCCACTGATTAGGATAATAATTGGTTTTGGACTGGATTGTTGAGTCTTCGACTAGAGTTTGTTTAATTTAAGTTGTTGAGTACTTGGTTCTATTTACTTGAGTGAGAATATGATAACTGAATACAGTCAAATTTGGATGTTACAGGGTCCATACCTGGTGTTTCTTATGAGAACATGAAACTCCAGATCAAGCTAGGTGTTCCTCGGTCTACTCAGCAACTCCTTGACGTTGAGAGGGTGAAGTCAGTCTTTCCATAGTGAGTTTCATATTCATTCCACGCTAACCTTTTCGTTTCCATCTTTTGCTAAGCTAATGAAGAAGAAAGCTAACCAGATAGAAACAAGGACAGCAATCGAGCTGAATTAAATACTTGATTTCCTTTATAAGCTGCAATTCAACTCCGAATTTAAGTTTGCTTCAGCTTATTTGATTTGCTTAACACCTGATACTTCATGATACATCTGATTAGAATGTTCATTCTATTTGTGTCAAGAATTCTGTTCAACTCGTAGTATTCTAACAAGATTCAGTCAGATAATTGAAGCACCCAAACTTTCTTGTCCTTGATCCTTTTTGCTTATAAAGATCATTGTCGTAGAAATTTTGTTGTCGACTTGTGTCCTTTGCGTCTTTGAATGTGATTTACGTTAAAAAGGCTGGGGGAATTGCTCATGACGTTCCTCGTGAGCTTCTGTCTTTGTTCAAAAAAAAAAATTCCAGAAGGATTATATCAAACACTTAATTGACTTCATTTATTAGATATATTAATGGTTAGAGTAAGTTCAATTTCATGGAAAAGGTATATCATTATTCCAATGATATATGTGAAGAGAAAACTTGAGGAATTAATCGAGAAATGATTTTTCTATAATTCAGTAACATTTTTAGGATAAAATTGGCAAAGCTTAGGTTGCATGTCATAAAGTCAAACAGACACAGTCGTCTCCCACTGCTTATAATTAATATCTTCTTCATACCTCACTGAGAAAGTTCTTGATGAACAAAATTCCAATTCTGATCGCCTTTTTTAACAAGAATCTTGGATTCAAGTTACTCGTATGATCAGCAGTGTCTGCACAAGAGATTAAGATTGTATGTGAAATTATAGTCAATTAAGGCACATCCAATAGTTGGTTACCTTACTGCTCTTTTTTGTGTTTTTGTTGGTTCTGTTGCTGTAGTGGCCAGATTGTTAGTTTTGAAGTGATGGACGGAGGAATGATATGCTCAAGTGGCGTATGTTTGGAGGCGATGGGAGATAAAAATGACGACTGCTACGTGGTTAATGCTGCAGTGTATGTTGGTTATTGATCCCCTTTTGTGAACCTTCAGTGAAAACTGTTCTCTCAGATTCTTGTAGAGTTGTTTGGTACCATTTCATTACAAACTTCCTGTGAGCTAATTTTTTTTGGTAGCTAAGCTTATCTGATTAATGGTTAAGCAATTCCTGCAGATAATTGCCATTATTATCTAATAGTTTAGACATGTGAAAGTAATCTATTTTCCAACTTCCAACTACTAAAGGGCGTTGGTTAAGGGTTTTCAAACACATGATTTTTTTCCCCACCCAAATGCATTTAACATAGTAACCATGTTCAATGGTGCAAATCATTCATACGCTGGACCATCATGCCAGTTATTTATTGCGCTTTCAACATAACTGTTATTTCATGTGCCTGCATGTGATGCGTGTTTTCATCCTTTTCCCCCACTTACATGAGCCGTTATTCACCTCAAAATCATTCATACGTAGTACGTTATGTTTTGTTACGCTTGACAAAAACTTAATGCATGGTCTGCAGATCATTCAGCTATTTTAGCTTTTCGGCATGTGAATAACTACCCAACACCGTATTCTTCTAGAAAAGATACATATATGGCTGTCCATTTGTCTTTATTTTGGAAGGTTGTCGTGTCTGATATCCTACAGGGTGCACCACTCTTGTCTGTCTACAAATTATAATCAAACCATCTCAATCAGTTCTCTCATTCTTTTATCATGTAGCATGTGTTGTAGCATGACCAGATAATTTTCATATGTCGTAACCTCTCTAATTTGTGCACCTCCACTGGCAGAGTTTTCTTCTATCTTGCTTTCCTCCCATCGATCATAATACCTCCATGTAGCTGGTTGTAAACGCCTTCAAATAATGATATGTTGAGATGGTCTAGACATTTTTGCGATAACCCAACAGATTTTTTTTTTTTTTTTTTTTTTTTACATCTTCAAATAATGATATGTTGAGATGGTCTAGACATTTTTGCGATAACCCAACAGATTTTTTTTTTTTTTTTTTTTTTTACATCTCAGCATACTTGATGGTCTTCCTTTGAGCAGTTTTCATCTTGCCGCAACTTGCTCCTCTGTAATTTCCTTAAAAAAGTCGTACTCATCCGGTGTAGCGATTGCAGGCTACGTACCCTCTGTTGGGATGGTGAATCCTCTGAGCCTTTTAGTACTATTTTTCTAACCTACAATTTGAAGTTGGATTTGTTCTTCTACCATAAACCAATCTTCACCAAGTTAATTTTGCCGGCACTTTTTATATCATTTTTATCAAAAAAAGGAATGATGCTTCTTATTTTTGCACAAACACCATGGTCCATAGAAGAGGACCCCTTTTTTTAGAGAGCTTGCAGCCACCTTTCTTTGATATCTTCTGTTGTCTTTATCAGCTCTTCTTCTGTGATACACAAAATTCCATTAACCAGTTCCAGTTTTCTCATGTGCTTCTTCTCCCTAATATGTAGAATAAATGAAGGATAAGTTTTTGCTAGTTACCACTATTTTTTTTATAAGAAAAATAGGGCATTTCCCTATCAGAATATATAAACGAAACCCAAAAATCCGATTACAAAAGAAGATATCTTCTTATGAATGAGGCGTCGTATCTGAGATGGAGAGAAGAGCCCATTCATTAGAAGATGTCTTCAGAAAAAAACCAAAAAAACAACCAACTAAAGCTCAAAAACAAGAAAATGCAAAAAAGAAAAACTAACCAAACTGTTGTGCATATACAAAAAACGGGAATACTACAAAAACAAGAAAATGCAAAAAAGAAAAACTAACCAAACTGTTGTGCATATACAAAAAACGGGAATACTATCAGCAGGTCAGGGCATAGAGTTGCAAAACTAACCAAACTGTTGTGCATATACAAAAAACGGGAATACTATCAGCAGGTCAGGGCATAGAGTTGTCAGCACTTGATTCAAGAATGTCTTGGAGACCAGACGAACGTATGAGCTTCTTCATCTTGAGCGACTTCTTGGAGGTGGAGGCCCTTGACCAGAAGCGAAGGAGGTTAACAGTCTTCTTGATGAGGATCAGAGGGGAAGTCGAAATATTTGAGAAGACTAGATCGTTATGTCCTTATTAAAAGGTAAAACGAGGCAAAAAAAATTTACTTGCATCATATTAAACTTGCTTTTTAGGATTTATTCGTTTATCTATGAATTTAAAGTGCGAGCGGGGCTGAAAATTATTTTAGGTTTTGCTTGACTATGGATTAAGACTGAAAGCAAAAACCTGGCTTAGAACCAAATAGTTTAACGAGTTTAACTGGGATTAAGTAAATCCTGTCTTTTGAATGTTTGGATAAGGTAGTCGTAGGAAAACCACATTACTTGGCGAGATTGGGATTTATGAGGGTTAAATGAGTTAACCTCTTTTTCAACAAAATGTCAACCTTAACCCTTGTTCAATCTTTGCGAGATAGGACTTATAAGTTGAGTGCTTATTACTTCAGTTTGATATTATTATTGTTATTTACGGGAGACTACTTATAACTAGGGGATGAGTTAAACAAATATATACAGTTGAAAGACGAAAATTGAAAATAGCAACAATGATTTAACGTCAACTTCAATATTTTTTAGTGGGGAGCGGGCTACGGTTTGAACCGATCAAACCGACCGAACGCCGGATTTTGGGCGGTTCGGTTCTAGCAGTAGCTTATGTTCAGCTCGGTTAAATATTTTTTTGCGTCGGGTTTTATCATGAAACCGGCCGACTACAGCTTACTCTCCGCGGGCCCACCAACCTACGCACGTGAGGACTTGTGTCTCACTTCGGGCCCACTAGTGTATGCAGGTGAGACACTTGGTCCAATTTGCTATGCGGGTCCCACCAATTTATCATGTGAACTTGTAACTGCAAGCTGTAAGTCTGTAAATATTTTATAAATAATGCTAGAGGCACACCATGAACCACACTCTCAACCATACCCTAACACTCTCTATAGTGCTAGTGGGCCATGCATGATATTTTTAAAAAAATATTATGCATGACCCACTAGCACTATAGAGAGTGTAGGGGTGTGGTTGAGAGTGTGGTTCATGGTGTGCCCCTAGTGGGACTCATATTTTATAAGTGATAAAGAGGAAGAGGGTCCACTCACGGTCTTCCCCAATTTTCCTCTTTAGAATTCTATACGTGCTCCCGTGCAAACCCTCTATTTTTTTAAGTATTGTATTTTAAACTTATCTTTTTTTAAATTTTAATACACTTAATTTAATTATCATATATTTAAAATTAGAAATCATATCTATTTCTTTATATTTAAAAGAGGATAAAAATTTTAATACATTTAATTTAGAAATCATATGTATTCCTTTATACTAAGAGGAGAATCTAAGTTTTAATACATTTGATTTGATTTACTATTTATAATACAGTAAAATACTGTAGCATAAACGGTAATTTCAAATTTATATTGCCAGATTTGAGTTATTGTTTATGATACAGTAATTTAATGCTGAGGATTTACTATTCATGCCACAGTAAATCTAGGGTTATTTATTGTTCACAGCACAATAATGTTATTTACTGTTGAAGTTACTGTAGCATGTGTTGTAGCATAAATAGTGACTTTTTGGATCCTCCTATAAGTATAAAAGGGTAGATTCTACAACAAAGTCATTACAGGTTCTCTTTTCTTGTTCTTCAACTATTTTCATTCTTAATCGTTCTCTCTGTTTACTTTTATGTATTTAGAAGGATTGAAGAGCATCTGATTTATGGCTTTCAGACCTTATGTCCGTGTTTTTTTCCCTTTGTAGGGTCGTACCTAGGAATTTTGGGGCCCAAGTCGAAATATTAGATAGACCTAAGTGATATAACTTATAATAGATTTTCTCTCATTGTTCTTACCTTTTGAGCTGCAAAATTACTAATTAACGTTTCATATTCAATATTTTCGAACATATTATTTTCGATAGATAATATTGCTAAACCATTCAATCTATCTTGTAACATGGTCAATCTTAAATAAGATTTTAGTAATTTTAATTTTGAAAAACTTCTTTCAGCGGATGCATCTGTTACGGGTATAGTCAATAATACACGATGAGCAATACAAGTATTTGGAAAAGAATCTAACCACTTTATATAGTTCAACATTTCAATTGGACTATTAATCTCTACTTTAAAAATTTTCCTAAGCACTCTCAATTCTGAAAACAAATCAAGTCCATTAATATCTAAATGTTCATCATGTTTTAGTGCATTTTCGAGTTTAAGACAATATTCTTTCAATTCAATATCATCTAAAGCTTTTATTTTTTTGAAATCAAACAAAAAACCAAAAACAATTCATACGTTTTAAATTGTTCAAACCTACTTTTAATTGAGCCAAGCGATTTATCAACTATGTATAAGAAATATTCAATACGAAAATATTCTTCAACGTTAAATATTGTTTCAGTACCAATATTTTTATCAAATTGTTTTTTCTATGAATTTTACGTTTTTCACGAAATATAGGTTGTACGTTCATTTCATTAGCAAGTTCTTTAGTTGAATTCAAATCAAACATAAAACCATTTTGTCTATAATTTTTTAAATATACAATAAGACCCTTTAATTGAACTATGGCAATATCAATATGCATATCTTTAGATTGTAAGATTTTACTAACTGAATTAACAACAAACAATATGTCATACCAAATATTCATAGCTAATAAGAATTCAAAATTTTCAATCTCATAAGTTGCTAAACTATTAGCTTCACTTTTTATCTTTGAATCTTCACTAATTTTTGCTAATTGAATCAAAGCATCTCTTATATTTGAAGCTTGAAATTTTATTGCTTTAACACTTTCAATCCGACTTTTCCATCTAGTTTGAGATAAAGATTTAACAGATAACTTGCATCCATTATCCTCTAAAATTTTCCATCGTTTAGTAGAGGAAGCAAACAATGAGTGTATATGTTACAACACTCTAAAAAAGAAATAGCTCTATAACATGAATTAGCTATATCACATAAGACTAAATTTAAATTATAACAACCACATGGTGTGTAGAATGCTCTAGGATTTATATCTAATAGCATCTTTTGTACTCTATTGTGTTTTCCTTTCATATTAGATCCATTATCATAACCTTTCCCTCTTATTTCTTTAACATTAAGTTCATATATATTTTTTTCAAAATATTTAAAAGATCGTCAAAAATGCCTTTT